TATGTAAGCCGTGCAGTAGAGGTAGGCGGCCTGCTTTCTCCCTTGATCATCGGTCCTAACTCCTGCATGTCAGTGTCACTACAAGCGGGCTGAGAGAGAGAGAGAGAGAGAGAGAGAGGGAGAGAGAGAGAGAGAGAGAGAGAGAGAGAGAGAGTGAAGAGAGAGAGATAGAGAGAGAGAGAGAGACTGGCAGGGCTAGAGATGACCACTTTACAACTTCAAGTCCTGCGCTTAGCCATTGTGCATGTTTCATACTTGTGCCCGCCCCCCTTGCTTTTTACAAAGGTGGGAGAAGGCCAAGAAAGCGCGAGAGGACAAGGCGAAGGAGGAGAAGGAGAAGCAGAAGGCCGAGGCCAAGCCCACCCTCGGGGACTCTCTGTGGGGGAGCTCCGTTGAGAAGGAGGAAGAAGTGAGTCGAAGAGTAGTGGCCGGTTCACTTCGTTAGAAGGAAAGAAGAATTTGAAAACTAGTGGCCGGTTCACTTCGGAAAAGAACGTAGCGTCTTACACCGGCCGGTAGACATTCAGGGGAAGCCATCGCTTGTCTTCGCTCTTTGGTGTGGTGTGCGACCCCTCTCCCCGTGGTTCATCAAAACTCCTCTTACGGAGAGGCTTGTGAGACACCAATGCTCGTTGCCACGTGTGTGTCGCTCGTTGCCCACCCCGCACATCGATCGATGCTCCTCTCATCATGAGTTCTAGATATCACAACGCTGGTGCCCGGGAGTCGAGACATTGCAGGGTAGGGTGTGTAATGAGTACGAGCGTGCGAATCATCAAATGTAGTGGGTCTGTACGCACCGGTCCCGGACCCGGACCCCCACCCCCGTTCTCTCGCCGCTTTGTCGTGACGCCCACGCGGCTGGCTCTCCTTCCGCCACCTGCCGCCATCCCTCCGCGATCAAAACCCGCAACTGACTCACCGCATACCGCACAACATTCCATGCCACCACGACATACCGCACCACAACACAACGCCCCGCGCCGCCCCATACCAACATGCCACACAACGTTCCACGCCAACCCGTGGAACATACCATACCACACCGCGTGCCACGTGCCACGCCGCAACCACGAGCAGCAAAAGAAGAAGAACGAAGCCATCCGAAGGGCGGCGGAGGGCCCCGCGGCGGTGGTGCTGAAGGCGGACACCAAGTTCGTGTCCCGCTTCGAGGCGGACAAGGCCAGGGCCGACAAGGAGAAGGTCGTGAAGGACAGGAAGCGCAAGGCGGAGGCTCGGGCGCGGTCTAACACGGACATGAAGGTGGTGACTTGCCTCGATTTGTGACCCTTTGTTTTGTGTGTGCGTGTGTGTATGTCTCTCTCTCTCTCTCTCTCTCTCTCTCTCTCTCTCTCTCTCTCTCTCTCTCTCTCTCTCTCTCTCTCTCTCTCTCTCTCTCTCTCTCTCCCTCTCTCTCTCTCTCCCTCTCTCTTATTC